TAGAACTATACTCTGTTTTTAAACCAGGAGGAGTAAACGCGAAAGTCAGATTTACACTGGAAAAAATCACCAGAAAATATCACTAGATATTTTGGCGGTAAATTTAAATTAATAATTATTATTTATTTATTTACTTATTATTGTATTTATTTTCGTTTGTTATCGTCAACACTATACATACAAATTAACATTGAAGTTATGAGTGTATTTATTTCAAAATATAATAAAAAAGGGTTTAAGAACACAAAATATACAATAATGACTCGAAACTGTCGAATTATCAATAACCTAACCTTCAAATTCAAAATTCAAAATTGCCTGTGTGTGAACCTTCCTAGCATTCAACCAATCACGTGCAAGGTCAATCTGGTGACAAATTTAAAATACTCCTCCTGGTTTAAAAACAGAGTATAGAGATATTCAGCTTTAATTTTTTTCTTTCCATCTTATTTCACATCACACGAACGTAAAACTATATAATTTTATATGTTTCCAGGAGAAAATCAACCAAATTTAGCGGGAATCGCGATCAAACCTTATAGGTTATGATTTGACCAACGGAAAACGTAAAATTCTTTACATACACTGAGAAAAATGATATGGAAAATTGAACTAAATCAATTTAGTTGTTAGACAAATGGTCATTTATGCTAGAAAATTTATTCATTTATCTAACGTAATTTAGCTGACATATACAATTCTAATTAGTCAAATTTTTGATAGTTAATTTATCTATTTACTGAGGTGATATAATTAATTTTTAGAAAAAGAAACTACTAGTTGATAAGTCTAGTTGTTGAATAGTTTAGTTACCTAAATATTTGGTATTTTGTTCTAGTTTGAATATCTATATACATTTAACAATGAAATATTTTACCTAAACAGACAAATGTACTATTATTAAATACTTTATTTAAATGTATTTTAGTCGTTTTGTCTACCTATTTTCATCGTTACATCGATCGTTTATAGAAAATATTTCTTAATACAAAAATTTAGGTACGAGTCTATATTTAAGTAATAAAGCTATCTACTACCATTAATAATAAAAATAATATTAATAGTAAAAACATCTATTAATATTATATAATGAAACTAATTTGATTAGGTATTTATAAGATAGATTTTTCGATCACTTATCTATCTTAAATTATCGAAATAGAATTAGTTTTTATAACTAGTAGTAGTAGTTAGCTAATTTTTGACTGAAAATTCTAGATAATATAAACTAAATGTTAAATAGTTTTCCCACATTATTTTTCTCAGTATTTTCATTAACTAAACCTAGTGGTGATATATAAAAAAACTTATACAAAACTTGCGCCATTCTAAACCAATATTCGAACGATTCGAACTGAGAACAGAACAAAACACACAATAGAACAAGACGCTGATCGCGTCACCGATATTCCAGACATGTTTCAGGCACATTTGTAAAGAAATGTTTCAAATGAAATGTTTCTGCTGCATATTTTGATGATATTTCATAAATATTCCTACTGAAATGTATTTGATATTTATCTTTAGATACGTTTCATAAAAATCGTATCTGTCACGTATATGAAACATAGTTCTACAATGTTTCATTTAATTCACTGTACGTACGTTAAAATTGAAATGTTTCACAGATGTTTCTTGTTTACTGGAACAAGACCTAGAACTAGAATCATTCGAGTGTAGCCGTCTTCAGAGACGTGCGACTAAATCTGCATGTTTCTAGTTTTTGGTCTTGTGTTAGTTCGAGTTTTGCACTATCATTAGAACTAACACAAGACCTAAAACTAGAATCATTCGGGTTTAGCCGTCTTGAGAAACGTGCGGCTAAATCCGAATATTTCTAGTTCTTGGTTTAGTGTTAGTTTGAGTTTTGCACTAGTACTTCCAGTAGAACTAACACAAGACCCAGAACTAGAATCATTCGGATTTAGTCGTCTTGAGAGACGTGCTGCTAAATCCGAATGTTTCTAGTTCTTGGTCTTGTGTGAGTTCGAGTTTTGCACTATCACTAGAACTAACAGAAGACCTAGAACTAGAATCATTAGGGTTTAGCCGCACGTCTCTTAAGACGGCTAAACCCGATGTTTTTAGTTCTAGGTCTAGTGTTAGTTCTACTTTTAGCTCAATAAAAATATACAATAATCTAGCAATGAATAACAAATAAAACTAGAACTAACACTAGACCTAGAACTAGAAAGTATCGGGTTTAGCCGTGCATCTTCAGACGCACGGCTAAATCCGAATGATGAAATCCGAATTAGTGTTAGTTCTAGTTTTACACTAGTACTATCACTAGAACTAACTCAAGACCTAGAACTAGAATCATTCGGGTTAAGCCATACTTCGGTTAAACACGAATGGAGTAGAGAGGAACATCATAATTCATGGTATAGCGATCCAGAATCCGGAAAGAACAGTGGACATCGTGAAGGGAATAGCTAACTCTCTTAATATTGAACTACTAGAGGAGATTGAGGCATTTAGATTGGGGAAAAGGGAACCTGGTGATGTTGTACCTATTAAAGTTATATTTGGGCGCAAACAGGATAAATTGAACTTTGTTAAAAAGAGAAAGGATAAAATTACAACGGAAGGACTGGTTTATGAGGGAACCAATAACAAGGTTTATTTCAATGATGAGTTAACGAAATACAATCAGGAATTGTTTAAGATCACGAAAGAGTTTGGTCGTGGAAATGAATATAAGTATATTTGGGTTAAAAATGGAAAGATAATGCTTAAAAAGACTGATGAATTCAAACCCATTTTCATAAACTGTGCTGATGATTTGCCCAAAAACTAGAGAAAACTCAACAAGTAGTGGTGTATTATTAAGAATGCCCTGTCGATTGATATAGAAAATAAACGGATTCCTAAAATTGTAAGAAGTAAGAGAGACGCAGTGGATCCTAGGGAAATTTCTAATGTTCTGAATGATCACTTCACCTTCAGTGTAGACAGGTTGCTTGCGGGAAAGCCGGCCGCCAATGTCAGCTTGGATTATGGGATAGATTCCTCAATGTACATTAAGCCTACAACTGCAGATGAAATGGAGCGTATAATTGATAATATAAAAAACAATGCAGCACCAGGCGATGACGGTATAAAACCAAAAGCGGTGAAAGTACTAAAAGGAGTTCTGTCACCTGTTCTATCAAGTATTAAGAGAAATAAAACTTGGTCAATTTCTCGATATCCTAAAGATAGGAAGAATAACTCCAGTGCATAAAAAAGGCTCAAAAACTCTTCCGAAGAACTATAGACCAATATCTATACTGTCGGTCTTAGCCAAAATATTTGAATCAATTTTAAAAAGTAGACTACTGTACCATTTAAATACTATTGGTTTTCAAACTTGTGAGCAGCATGGTTTCATAGGCGGTAAGAGCACACTGACTGCTATTATATCATTGTTGGAATTTGTTTATAGAAATGTCAATGAGAGCAAAACCGTTTTGGCTGTTTTCTTGGACTTGTGTAAGGCGTTGTGATGTGGTTGATCATGCTATACTGATTAGTAAGCTTGAAGATTTGGGAGTTCAGGGACCATCACTGAGAGTTTTTTAAAATTATTTAAGAAATAGAAAGCAGTAGACTGCTTACAATGATGCTACTAGCAGCTCGACTCATATCAAGTATGGAGTACCCCAGGGATCTGTCCTCGGTCCTTCTCCTTTTTTTAATATATATAAATGATATAACCAATTGTTGTATGCATGGTGATCTTGCTTTGTATGCGGATGATGCTGTTTTATTCTACAGCGGGTCTATGGACTCTGTCTTTTCTGATGCTCAGTATGATCTGGACAGTGTTTGCTCTTGGGTGGATAAAAATAATATTCAATTAAACAGCGATAAATGTACATATATGATCTTTAACAAAAAGGCCACTACGAAAAGTCATGAACTTATAATCTCTGGTATTAGGTTGAGCGAAGTTACAAATAGTACCTATTTGGGCATTGTCTTAGATAACAGATTAACGTTTGAATACCATATAAAATGAATACAAAAGAAGTTAAATGATATAAGCTATCATCTAAAACGTAATGGTCAATATTTCAACAATGAAACGAGATTTTCTATTTATTATGCCTATGCGCACTCTTACTTAAATTATCTTTGCGCTTTTTAGGGTCTCGCTCGTAAAAAAGACCTTGACAAGCTACAAGTAACACAAAATAAGGTTTTAAAGATTCTCTTTTGTAAACCACATAGCACAAATACTACATTATTGTATAATGAGTTAAAAGTGCTTAATGTACATGAAATGATTAAGCTTGATAGTGTGAAGCTAATATATAAAAGCAAAAATAATCTAATGGAAACTGGCATTCACTTTAGCCTCAAATGTGATATGCATGCGTATAATACAAGAACTAACCAAAATATTCACATCTTGCCCCTCGCAAGAAACATTGGGAGAAGAAGTGTTACAGCAGCAGCGGCGGAGTAGTTTAATGATTTACCACAACGGGTGAAGAATCTGAATGGTCTGAACTCCTTTGCGGGATAAGCAAGGACTTATTACCTTAATCTTAGGTTAAACTGATTTTGAACTGATCTTCTTCTTGTGTTGCTGTTATATTTTAGTGTTTATATACCTAGTATGGACTCTTATGTCTTTCTGGGAATTAACAATAAATTAAAAAAAAAATCCGAATGTTTCTAGTTCTTGATCTAGTGTTAGTTCGAGTTTTCCACTAGCACTATCACTAAAACTAACAGAAGACCTAGAACTAGAATCATTCGGATTTAGCCGTCTTAAGAGACTTGCGGATAAATCTGAATGTTTCTAGTTCTAGGTCTAATGTTTGTTCTAGAAAGGGTATAGGTGGTAGCGATAGTTGTAGTTTAATTAATACCGGCCATTAAAGCTTTCCTACTTACACATAAAACTTGTTTTAGATTCGTACTTCACAGAAAGATACCTAGGAATACCGTCTCAACAGTTCTTGGAATACGAAAAAGCAGATTTAACAAAAAGAGCAAGTAATATGCGAGGAAAACATTTTCTTTTAATTCACGGAACAGCGGATACGACGGTAAAACCACAACATTCCATGAGGCTTGCGAGATCTTTAATAGATTACGATATCTTGTTTCGACAGTTGGTAAATTCAAGAAAATTGGTCATTCAAATATAAACGAGAATTTAGGAATAGCGTGGAAAGTAGTGTTAATAACAAAAAAAGGGGTTGAGAGTTTCAGTAATAATCTTAAAAAACTAATTTGATTTCCTCGCTTTATATTTGAATGACTCTCATAGTTTCAACAACGTTAATAATTACGTTTCTTTTTACAGGTGTATCCAGATGAAAGCCATACGTTTAGTAAGAAAGGTCTGATGCATATGTACAAAGAAATCGACCAGTTTTTCAACGAATCCTTTGGTCCAAGTTTGGACGATTGGGAGGAGAACACGGGTTTTTTTATGCAATGATTTGCCAAGGATTATTGTTAAAGTTGTACCTAAGATTTCCGACTTTTACCTCTCCTTTCCAGTTAATGATTCGGATTCTCTTATGAGGAAAATTTAAATAGAATCAAAAGCTAGACCAATTTCACAAACACATCATTGTATATAAAAAGCGACGAGTCGTCGAGATAGGGTCGACTCAAAAATATGAAGAGAAAAAAATTCGTCCAAAAAGGTCCCCAAGACAGGATGCAAGAATGTAAGCTTTTTTGTTGTCTCAAAGAAATTATCGATCGCGCAACGATTTGTTGACTATGTTAACGTGAAATAATTATTAATAAAATAGTTAATAGGTTCGACTTTTGCAATGTGATAATTAATTTATTTTTTAACTACCAATGTGTTAATAAAAATAAATTGAGATACCCCCGAAATCCCCCAAATTAATTGTTTGTAAATAAATATATGTAAAAGCTTACATTCCGATTTTATACACGTGTGTATATATTATATGTGCCTGACCTAATAGCTTTATTAAATGAGACCGATATTATGAATTAAAAATTAAGCGTTGAAGACGAAAATTAAAAATGAAACAAAAAGTTAAAATGTTAAATTTTTGCAAAAATAAAAAAGAACATAAAACGTCTAAACGCTAAAAAAAATAAAAGAAATTTGGAAACGACACTCAAAGAGACATAAATATGACACATTATATCATACTTATTGTTAATAATGTTATATTTGTATAAAATATTGTACTGATAAAAGAAAAATAAATGTGACACCAAAATTAAATAAATTTTACTTCTTAATATTTATTTAAAAAAGTCTATAACAAAACTGCATTAAAAAAAATATTTTACCTAATAATAATTACACACTATTCTTTCTTTAATTTATTCTTTTCACTTTGTAGGAGCGACAATACATCCTCTTTAGTTGGACGAAAGAAAGATAAATGCCAAAACATAAACCACGTTGGAACAATGGTAACACAAATAACACTAAATAACCAATTTCCATAAATAATACAATCAACAATACTGTAAACCATTGCGTGTTGAATAGCCGCAAAAGCACGCGTTAAATTCTCTTTAAAATCGTCACCGGGAAACATTAAGAAAGTGTACGCAGTTACAATGATATTAACAAGAACGAACGGGTGCAACATGAACCATAAACATTTTTGGGTCCATCTAAAATATTTGCAACGCCCTGGAAACATAATAACGGTAAAAGGAACGTATAAAACTGCACAAAACATCGCTAAAGATATGTTATACATCGCGATACATAAAAATATCGTTCCTAATTCAATTAAGGCGATGATTTCTAACATTATCATACAACGGTAATTTGGTCGATATAAAAATGGAGAAATAAAAATTGTTAAAAATGAAATAAACGCAAAACCGACGTAAATCGATAACTCAGTCGAATAACCTCCATCAATCCCTAATTTTGTAACATAATAAGGAAATAAATCTTTTAAGAAAAACCCTAAACCATGTATTGTTACTACTATTAAAGCTATGTGACCAAAATGCATCTTGGAGTCTTCTGGGATATTTGGAATATCTTTTAAAAGTTTATCCTCCCATTCTTGTATTGACAACTTTGATAATTTTACTTTTGAATCCCTCTTAAAAGCTAATTGTTCCTCTGTTAATTTTGTGTCTTCTGAATCGGTATTTTTATCATCATCTTTATTAAGTTGAGACCATTTCGCATGGGCCTTTACAAAAAGAACAGCCACTAGAGCACCAATAGCCGGCATATACAATCCTTAAATCACAAAAAAATCAAAAATAATCAAAACTATAACTTTAAAATCTTACCAATTGAAATATATCTATCACTACTTGACAACAAATAAAAAAAGAAACTTTGATGAAAACGTTCCAATAAATTATTTAAACTTCTAAAGATGTGCTCAATAATTCGTCCCATTCGAACGAATTTAACATCAGCTCTTTTATTTACAAAACCTTCCAATGTTAGAGCTTGTATTCCAAAGCGGTAATAAAGACCGTGATTACCGTTTGGAATCTAAAAAATTAATTATTATTATAATGGCAACAGAAAAATAAAACCATCATACTCCTGTTGCTTGCGTAGAAGCCATTAACATCATTGTATGAAAAGCATAACTCCAATCGTTAAATTCATTTGAAAGATGTTGAGAACTACGCCCTTTAAACGTATATGGCACTCCTTCCCGCCAACACATTTTTGAGGCTAAATTAAATAAATCCAAATTGGGAAGTTGACCATTTAATCCCTCAATTTTAATATCAATACGAGCTTAAAAAAATAATAGTTTTAAAAAAATAGTGAATTTCACTTAAGATGCAATATACAGCCTGATTCAGAGTAAGCGCCTTATTTTTTTTTAGCCACACTACTTTCAAAATATTTGGCAGTAATATGTTTTAGGACACTCTCTACACGATGGTGAGATCTTAAAAGCATTCTTTTTACGACAGTATTTTGTTTTTCTTAAAAATTCATTTCTTTCCCCATCCAAAAGGAACCTAATATTTTAATCTATACTCTGTTTTTAAACCAGGAGGAGTATTTTAAATTTGTCACCAGATTGACCTTGCACGTGATTGGTTGAATGCGAGGAAGGTTCACACACAGGCAATTTTGAATTTTGATTTTGAATTTGAAGGTTAGGTTATTGATAATTCGACAGTTTCGTGTCATTGTTGTAAATTTTGTTTAAACCCTTTTGCGTCTTCAATTTAATTGAGTGAAATCTGTTCTTTTTAGAACAAGGTATGGATCGTGACCCTAATAAAAGTAGAATTGCTTTTAATACCTA